ACACACACACACACACCACCTGGAAAAGGAATTTCCAAAGTGGGCCATCTGGATTTTTACTGACTAGTGCATTTTTTGTGGAAACAGGCAAGATTCTGGGTGCTAATCAGCAACTGGTTATAAAGGAGTTTATTATGCACCTGCTCCTTTATCTGCATCCTCATATTCTTCTTTACTGGGGATTTCTGTATGCTTATGTAACCAATCTAAAGCATTTTTAAAGGTTAGAAAGGAACCAAACAAACAAGATTGTACTTAGGTTAAATCAGCACGAAAGAAGCATAAGAACAACTTATGGATAAGTTTTAGTTACTAAGTATGTCAGTGTGATTTCTATTAGGATTATAATAAATGAAACGTGAACAAACACTCCATCAAAAGCTGGTAATATATTCCTCAGGCCTTTTGAGTTTCTATTATAGTGACAAAAGACATTATTTTGCAAGCAGACCCAGAGGGCAGTGAGACAGATGTGGTAGACAAAGACATTGGGGGAAACCCTCCTTCACTTCCTAGCATCACCTCGGAAGAGACAGGAGAACCATTTCCCAGCAGGTTAAGTCAGAGCATAGGGATAAGAGGTTTGGGGATGCTGTTAATCATAGTCAGATCATCATGGGGTCCAGGTGAGTGAGAAAAAATTAGGACCTAAAGCTGGTGAGGACGATGTAGGAATTAGTAGTCAATAAGTGTTCACATGGTCAAATTGTGCAGTTAGATGAGGGAAGCTAGGAGTTTACATTCCTAAACATGATATATTTCTAGGAACATAGCTGAGAATATGGATGAAATTTGTGGCAGATAGAAAAGTGCTGAGTCGCCGCCGGGCGATGGTGGCGCACGCCTTTAATCCCAGCACTCGGGAGGCAGAGGCAGGCGGATCTCTGTGAGTTCGAGACCAGCCTGGTCTACAGAGCTAGTTCCAGGACAGGCTCCAAAGCCACAAAGAAACCCTGTCTCGAAAAACAAACAAACAAAAACAAAAAACAAAAAAAAAAAAAGAAAAGTGCTGAGTCTTAGGAAGGATATGAAACTTAGAGGACAAACCATTTGGATACCTACAGCACCAAGGACCATTTTATAGATAGATAGATAGATAGATAGATAGATAGATAGATAGATAGATAGATAGCACTTTGAAAACTGGTAAAGATCTGGGATGAAAGCCCAGGGATTCTGCTGCAATAGGCACTGGCTTAGATCTGGAGATGGGGGCTATGCACATCAAGCTTCCCGGGCAATGGATATGAAAGTAGAACTTGGCCTCGATGCAGATGGGTTAGCAGATCTGATGCAGCAGCTCTCAACTCGGGCTGCACACTAGGATCAACAAGAGAGCCTTTCTGTATTCTGGCGGCTGTATGAGGCCTTGGACCAATTAAATCCAAATCTCTGAGGCTGTGCCTGTATTTAGTCAAACTCCAGTAGAAGCCCAGGATGAGCACCAGAGCATCTAAAAATCTGGACTGGGAGCTGCAGCTTCTGTGGATACTCAGGCTCCTAAGCTCATGTAGCTAATGCCTCAACAGAGCCTAGATCCTTTTCCTGTTTAATTAACTTGCTAGAAAAAGCCTCCCACAGATTTCCTAAGCAGAGAGAATTCTCTCAGAAAGTAGCTTTTAGTCCCTTTTAATTGCACAAAAAGGAATTTCTTGAATTAAAAGAAAGCTCTGAATTAATACAAAACTTTGCACTCAAACAAAGTCACTAGAGAGAGAAATTGTCCAAAAAATTGCTTCTGTCAAATGCAGTTCATATCTGAGCTTTTATTTTTTCTTATTCTGAGTTTCGTTAAACAAAGTAATTGCTTACTTTGAATTTGACCACCAATTCCAGAGCTCCAGGTCTGAATTGCTCTAATAGTTTCATCACTAAATTTAAAATGGTTTCTCTTCACTAAATGATCTCACTCCTTTCACAAATCATTAGGAGGGAGACTTCGCATGACACATTGGTGGGGACCAGAGGTCACATTCTCCTTTCGGGGTGCCACTTTTGTTATCATAGTTGGACTTTTGGTATCTTCAGAAAGAATCTCTATAACACAGGCTATTCTTGAGCTCACTATGTAGCAACCCCTGCCCTTGAACTCTGCAGCCTATCTTTTTGCTGGGATTGTAGGCACACGCCATCACATCAGGCATTTTATCTTCGCTCTTCTGTCCATGCTCCCTGTCTCACAGAAACAATGAATGCAATAGGGAAGCAAATAACAAAATAACGATTATGACATGCTATCCACTTCCCTTGGCGAAGGGTAGGCAGCATCCACGTAACAGTGACCTCATCCCTTATCCAGAATCCTTAGTGCTAGATGTTTTTCAGTATGCAAAATACTTTGTGTTTTAGAAAATGATGTATTCTGTTGCACAAGTAGCCTGGAGACACTTCTGACTTTGGAATTAAATACTGTTGTTTATGTAACAAAACACAAAATATATATTGTCTTGTGTCATTAGTTACGCTTTTGCCATCAAATGAGTTTGTATTCTTCTTGTAAGAAATATTTGAATTTTGAGATTGAATTGGATATTACAGTTTCTAAATTATGGACTTTATAAAAGAACAAATGGTGAATTTTATTTAAAAACTACTGACTAATCATTTTTAATTCTTTTTTTTCCTTTTTTGCTTTAATTCTCAAAATTTTTATTTTTAGCTCATTCCTTTGAATATTATCCACCAAAATAAATGATAGATAAACCACAAATAGAGGGCTGGAATGGGGACAAGAAAGATTATGTACATATCATTTAACATTAATAAAAATCCATCCAAGTACATATATCTGTATGCTGTATATGAGAAAGCTGAATTTTTGATGGTCAAATTGTTTGACAATTTCCCATTATGATGGAGACCACATTTAAACACTCGATATTCAACCTGTTTGTCAGCTGCAGAGTCTACTGTGTTGTTCAGCTTCCTCATCAAGAGGGCAAATACCTAAGTCAAAAAATCAGAACACAAATATCCCATTTTATGTTAAAAACTGAAGCTGACTTGACAACATCGTGTTAAGATATGAGGTCTTTTTTTGCCATCTTGAGAAAAGGGGAACTTTACTCATTTCTTTCTATTAAATGATCACACATTTATAAATTATTTGGGAGAGATGTTCACATGGCATGTTCGTGAGGATCATGGAACACAATAGCATGCTTTTATACCTTATTCAAACTCACAGTGTGTGATCTAACAATAGCAACCTAGACCTCTGAAGCAACAAGTACTTTCACTGAAGCGAAGAAGTTAATATTTAAATCGCATGTAAACCACATTTTGTAGGTGTTCCAAAACCAGTGTATGGAAGATGATCCAGAAGGAAATTCACAGGGGAGGTCCTATAAAGACTGCCTTGCCAGGTTCTTCGGCTGGATAATGGGGATTAGCCACTGCGAACACCTCCAATTAAGGCAATAAACGTATGTGCGCGTCAGCGCACTGGTGGTGGAGCTGTGTTGCGGAGTTAGTGCGAATACAGAGAGCTGTGCCCTTCTGCGCAGGTTCCCAACACTATATCACAAGGATCTTCATCCCCTCCCTTAGCTTGTCTGCAGTGTCATTACTGCTTCCCTTTTTTTCCTCAATAGAAATGTAGCGTTTTTAAAAACTAAAATAGTTTAAAATCTTTAAAATTATTCATTTTCTGAAATCTTTTGTTTATGACTACTTTTCAGGAGTGTTCTTTTGTCTTTTTTTGTCAGTGGCAGATCTTGTCAAGTAGGAAGCCACGACTAAATTTTCGCGTCATAAATAAATGAGCCTTGACTTACATGCCATTCTGATTATGTTTACACTGCCTAGAGAAGTCCATAGTAAAATGAAGATTTTCACATAGAATTTGAAGCCTTAAAACTGGACTTAGATTGGCCTGGAGAGACTTCTCAGTGGTTAGGAGCAGTTGTTGCTCAGGTGGAGCCCTAGGTTCCCAGTATCTATGTCTGGAAGCTCTGACACGTAGAATATCAAAATTGTCTTAAATTTTCTAAATTTCAGGATCTGAAATGACTTTTAAGACACACAGTGATTATTTCCCCAGGGGACCCCTGCACTCAAGGACAAGCCTCAGTATTTTGCCTGCTGGTGTGATGTGAACTTGAAAGAACACTTGCTAATGGATACTTAGCAAATTCTATTCTTCATCTGTCATGGTCACACCTAAGTCTCTGTCTCTGTAACTCTGAATATATCTGCTATGAAAAGCACTTTGAACGGGCAGTGGTGATGAGAGAACCCTTTTCTAATGTTGCTGTGATACAAGATTGCCATTTATTCTAGACCTTAATATAATTCCACATACTTCAGGATTAATCATAGAATGTCAGTTTTTGCTACAATATCTCAGCATCTATGGCATCCATATTACATGCCTGAATCGATTTCAACATTAGCCATTCTAAGAAGTTTATGTCTCTATAATTGATGGCTTTTTTTTTGAAGGAAAAAGCATTTGGAGGTTGTCAATAATTCTGTAGTCCAAAAAAATTAAAAATAAAAACAACAACAAACCCAGATTTTGGTGTGGAGCCTGAATTTATGCATCAAAAGTACAGTGTTTAAGTAGATCTCTGTCAACTAACGAATGCTATTTCAGTCGGAACACTTGCTCACCCCACACTGCACCATCTGTCTCACAGGGAGCAATTAGTCTGAAGCTACAGCCTGTACATTGAAGTACCATGAACAGCGCCACAGAATATTAATGCATCTGGTATTGCCATTTTTATCTACGCAAATTTGAGTGTTAATTTTGAGCAGAGCAGGTATAACATTTTAATCCATTCTGTTATTTAAGAATCCTGAATAAAAGATATGATTAGCTAACATTACGTAACAGTACAGAGAAGTGAGTTTAACAACACTGTGTGTTTTGGCAACATGCATGTGGGCCTCAAGTCTTTATTAAGTTAATATGTGTTATTTGTCCAAAATGCTAAATACTTTATAGAATCAGTTTCCGCAGGACTCTGACTCTGGAATTCCCTTTTCTCTTCCAGAACCACATCACTGCCTTTGCGGAAGTCACATGATATTGAAGCAGATGGTTTTTCCCTGCACTGGACATCATCCCTCTTTACCATCCATTCATAAGAAGGTTTATTTGATTACACAGAAATTTATAAAGTTGTCTGAGACTTTTTATAAATTTAAAACTTAATAGCACCCTCTCTGCTCCACCGCCCTGGTCCCCCACTAGACTGTGAGCTCCTCAAGAGCAGGACCATGGCTTTCTTTCCTGTATCCCCAACACCTACCACCTAGCACAAAGTGTGGGTGTTCAGTACAAACATGATGACAAAAATGAACAAATTTAATTCTTCAATAAAATAGTCGCTTTAGTTTCTCAAAAGAATCTCTGTGGCTATGTGAAAAGAAATCTCCATGTGGGTTATATTTGTATAAAAGAGAAACCCTCTATTTTGGACTCATTAAGCCTTTTTAATTTTTCATATCTCTATTCAACAGTACAGCATATTTAATTTGAAGTTAATTTTGAAAGTCACGGGGGCTTTTTTATTATGCAGCATGACTTTTTTTCCATTCTAACAGATTTCAGCGTGTGAAATCATTTTACTTTTAGAAAGTATGTCCTATACTGAATTGTTTGCTCATTATATTATTCTGTATTTCACTTAAAATACCATTCATACTACACATTCTAAGACTGGTGCTTCTGCTTTTAAAGGGGGAATTGCCAATTTTTATTGTCACTAAGTAATGTATCATAATTAAAATTATTTATTTGGACTTTTTCTTTGACACTTGTGATTTAATGGTTGAGTTGCAGTTTCTGAAATGCAGCGATATTTGGAATAGATTAAGGCAAAACAGCCATGATACCATATTATTGAGTAACTTTCCATCATTAACAGTGTCTCAAGATTGGCTGTAGTCCAGTCATAGCTTTCTTACTGATCAAGAATTCAAATAATTTAAGTGGGAGCGAACCACATCTTACCATACAATTACGTAGATGCTAGAAATATGATTAATGTATTTTTGTAATTGTCTAATAATTTAGTTAATATGTATTTATATTTACTTTATCATTTGATCCTCCCAGTAATCCTGTACAAATATTGAAAGATGGCTTTATTTACACACAAGAAAAATGAAGCCAAGACTGATAACATGCCCAATCCCATACCTCTAATCAAGCAGAGAGAAAAAAAGCTGAAATTTGGAATTACCCTGGATTTGCATTTTTCCCCTTAAATATGCCACAACTGCCTCAACATTCATGACATTGAGGCCTTATGAGGCCATAAGAGTCCTGATAAACTACCTATGTTAAAAAAATAAAGAAATGCCGAGATAGAGCTACAGAAAGTCTGCAGTATTTTAAATGTTTACCTTATATTAATGAACATAAACACATTTTTCAAACACAGAGCTATCTCGGGTTCTATTCATAATTCCAGTGTCTGGATGTGAGGCTCTTTGTAAAAGGGAAGCCCAAATCCAGTGTCTTCATTCTGTACCTCAGCTGCCATTCAGGAAAGAGGCCAGGGGACCAACTTTACAGTATCTGCGTGGAACTAAAAAGAAAGAATATAAGGAGAATCAAGCAAAGATTCACTTGGCATCTCTAAAGCTAACCCAAGATGCTTTGACTTATATGTGTGGAAAATGATTTTAAAATAATCTTTCTAGTCTTGAAAAATAGTTGAAAGTAAACAATTAATTTACCCTCTAATCAGCAAATAATTAAAACCAACAACTTGTCCGTTACTTACAAATGTATTTCATTTGTCAAATTCCAATCCTGCAGGAGTCAAAACACTTCCACTAAGAGCCAAATAAAGAAATTCCCTTTTTATAAAAATTGAAATCTCTACAGCAATTCAATTTTTTTGGCAATTTAGAACAAGCTTTTGTGTCTTGACCTTTTAAAGGCACTGTTTTAGAAAGCATTAGAAATGGGCAGTTCGGTTCTGGAATAAAGGGTATGAGCATAATAGCAAGCAAAGGCCGGGTGGCTAGTTAGGCTTCTACAGTTGTTTAATTCTGGTGGTACTACACTCACTTTAGAAGGACCCAAGAAAAAATGGTTTTCCCCTTGGAAACTATTATATAAAAACGTCAAGGTCAGTGAAGATTTTTTTGCACCTTCCTAAACCTAAAAGAGTTATGAATTAACTCTAAAAGAGTTATGAATTAAAGAACAAAACAGTATCAGAGTGAAAATCACTCCTACTATTTAAGCATCAAGAAGGTTGTGCAATTATGAAATCCAGGAAAAATTAAAGTTGAGTGAGAATAAATCAAACCCAGCAAAGACTACTTAACCATGATGCTATTACTGAGAATAATGGAAAACATATTTGAGAAAAATGTTAAAATCATGACAACAGCTGGTGTTCAGTGGTGCAGCATTTGCTGAGCATGCACAGGTCCTGGGTTCAATCCCCAGGACTTGTAAAAGAAAGCACTAATCTCGATATATACATATGTACATACATAGTCTCATAAAAGCAGGCAATCCCATACATTTCCGATAGAGACCCTCATTTTTATTCCTCTTCCTTGGGGCCCAGGTCAGTGTAAATTGTTCCAACTGAAAACTTCAGTAGCCTCTGTTTGCATGGCAGAAATTCCGCACAAGTCTTATCCGATGCCTAAGGTAACTTAAAAGGGTCTTTTATGTTAAAAGAGAAGTGAACCTTCTTTGACAGACTTTGTCTATTCAACTTCTAACTGGGCCTCTTTTTTTCTCAGGATCTATCCTAGCCAAATATCTTGGTTACATTTTCCATGGCTTCCTTTGTGAGAGAACAGTGGGGGAGGAAATAATTCTCTGCTGTGTATTGTATTTTTCAAATAAAAATTTAAAAATTAAATTAAAAAAATAAATTTCCTTTTCCTCATGGATTGGTCTTTATTGGGGTAGAGGAATAAAGAATGATCACTAATGTGCATAGAGTTAAGAGTTTTCATATTGGCTGGAAAGTGTTTAAAAGTGTACCAAATTGGCCATTTTGATTTCTTCTAGTTCAAGTAAATGGTCCTTACACTCCACAAATCATCCTGGGATCCTGTCAAGCTCTGTAGTTACAAATCATAAACTTCTGGAAATGACTTTGGACACCAAACAGGCATGCGATTTATAGTTGCTCTTCTTCCTGTGAATGACAAGCAACTAAGAGGCAGATGTCCCTTCATCCTGTTTTTATGGGCATCATCAGTCAAGCTCTGGATGTGCTCTGAAAGGTCACCTCAACAGGCGACAAATGATTCTGTCTACACACTGGAAACACGAATCTCACAATTTGCTTTTTTATGAATGAATGCTATGAATTATAAATCTTCAGAAATATAAATCAAGGCAGCATGTTATTCCAGATTACAAGTGATCAGATCTCAAGTCAAGAAGATGAATATTTGAATTTTTCTCTCTTGTCACTCTGTGTAGATTACAGTTGTTTTTTAGGGTATGGTTGATTGATGATAAATTGTGTTTCCCTAAACTGTTATTCTTGTGACTCATTAATTATAAACTCAGACAGCCTTTCTTCACATGAGTTACCCAAGCAATATCAAACAAGGAAACATAGATGAGTGGGCACACTGGGACCTCCACTGTTCCAATGAGAATCAAAATCCATGCCATTTGTTAGAAAGGTGATATTGGCCACACCTTTACACAAAAAAACATTTGCATTTCATTCTTATAAATTTGTCATTGGTCAAAGACTGGTAGTGTTATTTTTCTCTTGAGAAAAGAAAAACTCTTCCAAGCTACACAGTAACTCTTCATTTTAATCATGTTTCCTTGGAGCAATATCTCCAAGGAAAATCCAGCCTTCATTTCACCCAGCATTTTATAGAAATATGGTTCTAGATATCAAAAGATTCACATTTAGTACTGACTAAATGATAGTTAAAGGACACATAACTTTCCTTATGTACATGAAAGTTATCAGACCACGTGGTCGTGGATGTCTTGAGAATCTAGTATCTTCTCTATATAACTCAGAAAACTATCAGGTAACTGAGGAGCCTCAGCAGCATGGCTTGAGAATTCAGAAACGTGTTGTGTGCTGGCACATAGCCACTTGCCCATCTTATTCAATTGACCAAACTATGTCCCAGAGCTACCCCAGTTTAAAGAAGAAGCTAATAAAGAGGTGGGTGCCAAGATGGGTGAGAAACCGGTTCTTAATTTGCATTCAATTTACCACAAACTTCTAAAAATTCAAGTATAGCATTCAAATTCTCCTGAGTTTAATTCCTCACAGATTTTTGAAGAGTCTGTCTGCTAAACACCAAGATTCCACAAATGGGAATGAGAAAAAAAGCCAGCTCTTATAACTAAACCAGGATAACCACTCCCCCATGTAGCAGTTACACATACAAATGATCAGGCTCTGTAGAGAACTTTCTTCCTCGTACTTAAAGCATCAGCAGACCTGATGAGGTTTTTATTTAGATGTAAACATTTTACATCATTCCTTGTATTTGTTAATAAAGAAGAAGACATGATTTTATATGTGAAAACAAAGAAGTAGAAGACTATGGTATGGGTGCTTGGCATACAGCTCAATGGCAAGCGTGCTTACCTAGAATGCAAAAAAGTAAGGTTAGTGACTCAGACTAAAACTAAATAAATAGTCTAAGATATAATGTATACCTTTGGATTGTATGTGCCTATAAACCAGTTTGATTTTTATAGTTTTGACTTTCAGAAATTTTAGTTACTATGGTTTAAACAATATCACTCCCACAACAATGCACTTCAAGTTTTGAGTGGCTACATAAATGACAAATTGGCCTACCAGCTCTTCAGCCTTCCAGGTACTGGAATCATACAGGACTAGTGTCTTTATTACTTTTCCACCAATGTGTTAAATACCCCAACAAGGCAACTTAAGGGAAAAGGGGCTTCTTTTTGACTTCCAGTTCTAGAGCGCATAATCTATCATGGAGGGGAAGATGTGAAAGTAGTAGGGACAGCATGGTGGCAAGGCCAAGAAATTAGACTGTCACATTGTATCCACATTTATAAAGCAGAGTACAATAAATAATTGGTAGTGGTCAAATAATTTTCTCCATCTTATAAGGTCTTATGTTTGTATTATATATTATATATGAGATATGTTGGTATAGATACATATATATGACATAATATTGCTGCACAAATGTATGTATAAGATGTATAGATATTTGTATATAGCTCTTGTTCAGGAAATTTTCTCCCTCAAAATTAAGACATGGCCTCCTCACATCAATAAATATAACCAAGATTGTCCTCCACAGCCATGCCCAAAGACCCATTTCCCAGGTGATCACATATATTCTGTCAGGTTAATATTAACCCTGACACTCACAGCCAGTCATGTTACTACTGTCAGATTAATCACTCCGCAATTGTTTCTCTGGTCACACAAAAAGGACCAAAAGGTAATCCGTGGAATCTTTGTCTCTCAGGAGTGGTAGATCCTCATGTCATTTTACAAGGTGCTTAACTTAAAGAAGATTTGACCATTGAGGATGACAGTGAGCAAAGATAAGCAAGGACAGTGTTGAAAATGACGTTGAACTAGGACATGTGTAGAGGCACAAGAGTTATAAGTGACCATGAGAATATTAACGGTGGAGCACTTCCGAGAAGTTTAAGAACTGCAGCCACAGACACTTCATTAAAGTGAGCTTATCGGTATCGATAAGACAGGTGGTCAGGATGGAAAGGATCGGTTTGTCTAAGGCTGAGAAATGTAGCTCCATTGGCAGGGTCGTTGCCTGTAGAT